TCATTAAATTAATACGTGAACTATCGGCCAAGAACTGGCTGGTGGCAACTACGCTCCTTGGTGCCTATACAACCACGGAGCCCTTTTTACAACCCGGCTTGGCTCCTTTCCATAAGTATTTAGTATCTGAATGCCTGTCTAATGTGTTGGTTATTTATATGAATTCCTTTTAATACTCTCTGGTGGTTCATCATCGGCTTCCAGTGCTGTTGTGTGAGGCTGGTTTAGCATGGCAGAACTCTACCAGCAACAACAAGGTTTCTGCTTCTGTTGGTGATGCTCAGTCATGGGTAGACGGCCCCAGCGATCTGCAAGGGCCACGCACCACACCTGGATCGGATGTTGCTGACGCGTGTGCAGAACCACTTAGTAGCATCATCAGTAACTGGGGCAATTTTCCTTTTTGCAAATATGCCACCAGTCAGATCAAAGAAATGGGACTGTGTTAATCTCCATTCTGAGGCAGAGAGCACGGGCAACGCACAGAGCTCAGCTGACCTGATACTGGAGCAGTCAGCCAGCTGCTTAGAGCAGGGGACTGTGAGATTCTGGAGAAAAGAAAATAGATCCCAAAAGCCTATAGCCTGCCCCACTTGTAATAATGTAATATATAATAATTATACTATAATTATATAATAATACAATGGTGATGGAGATTCAAGGTGCTGGAAACCGGCTGGTGGAGACCCCGACTCAACCGTGCATTCACCCCGTCGCACTGCTTGAATGCTGCTGTTTCTCACGAGGGGAGGGGAAGGATCCCGTGGCTGCCTGGGCTAACTGAGCGGTGCCAGCAGAAACCGACAGTTGCCTGTTGTCAATATCCCCGTTGTCAATAGTTTCTGTTGCCACTAGCACAACAGAAAGGGTGCTAATGGCAAGACACAATTGGATCCTGGTTTGGACGGCAAGGCAATGCAGCATGGCTGAATAAACCCTTGGTGAACCGTGGCATGTGCTCTCCATTCTGAATAGGTAAGCCCCAGCTTGTTTTGTTTACCCAGCACCTAGATTTGGGCAAAGCGAGAAGCCGTGGCTTGCATATTCATGATGATAGCCACCCTGTGCTGCAACTTCTCATGGGTAAATTAACATTGATAGCTCTCATAATTTGTTCATGTGAAGAGAGCGACCGCTGGGTCACAGCCTAGGCCTAAGCAGTGGGTCATTGCACATGCCGAAAATATCCAGTACTCTGTCCTGAAGAAAAATAGAGTGGTCAGAATATAAGCTTATCGTGTGTCTTGGACAGAGGGACTGGAGGCAGAGATTGATGGTTGTATACAAAGGAAAACAATTGACCTTATTACCTCAGCAAAAAGCACTTGCTGCTAAGTCACATCTCCTGGCTTCTGTGGGCTACTTCTGAAGCACTAATGAACAACAATTCATTATTACAAGTGGGGGTAGGCTATAGGCTTTCGGATCTATTTTCTTTTCTCCGGAATCCCAAAGCTCACTAATGCCAGGAACAAACCAGTGGATCAGGATGGTGGATGCCTAATCACTGAACAAGGGACCTTTAATTCCATGCTCAGCCCAGAATTTGCTCTCTGTAACACAAGTGGTTTGCCACACACATCCTTTAACACAAAATTCTGCTCCAAAGCTTTCTTGATTTCAGTAGCTTAATTTAGGAGGGGTGTGTGGTCTTTTGTTGTTGCTATTGCTAAAAGATTTGGAAGCCATTCCTGATCTCCCCAAAACCACCTGGTATGAGAGCCAGTGCAGTGGTTAAAAGTTGGCCTGGTGCCAGCGGTGCAACTCTGCTACAGCGATCATATGGGGAAACTTGCATTTTGCACCCCTGCTGGGAAGCCCACCCACTCTCTGGCTTGCAGCACTCGGGGGAATTATATGGACTGATCCGGGCCAGCCGCTGGTCATAGCAGTATCAAACCGGCTGGCCAACTTGAATCTGAGTGTGCAGTTGGTGGTCTGTTCGGGATTTAGCCAGGATCAACATGTTATGTTAAAAGTTCTCCTTTTCTTTCATGAGGCCCCTGTTACTTGCTCCTCACACTTTCTGCTCCTGTTATCATGCACTTCCTTGAAGAGAAGCCCTCCAAGGCCTCTTCCTTGGGTGGTTGTCTGGCAATTCTCAGAAACTTGCTTATAAGTAAGCAGCTTATCGAGTTAACAACTGGCTTTGAGTCAGTCATTGTTTGGTAGCATGGACTGTCCAACATTTGTAGTTATGAACTGCAATGAAGCAACCTTTGCCAGACCACAGATGAAAAAGCCATCCTTTTTAAAAGGTGCTTTCCCAAGATGATGTCAGCGCTGCATGGTCCTAATGGTTGAATTGCCCTCTGATGTCTGGAACATGGATTTTTAAATGTGACTGTTGTCTATAATGAGCATTTCCCATAAATTTCTGAGGATAATAAGTGCAGAACCAAAGAGCAATATTTTCTTTTCTCCTTCTTAAGAGGCTCTTAACAGTGACCAAGCTTTTAAGAAGTGTTTTGAAAGCTACTGTTAGCAGTATTTGTAACACCATTTTTATTCCAAGTCATTCATCTAGAGATTCTGGCATGTTTGCATGGTGAGCAACCAGACAGTAAATTTACACACACACACACTTTTAGTACAAAACTATTAAAAAGTGAAAATAATTTTAGAAGTACATGCCATAGATTAGTTTGGGGTTGAATTGGCGAGCCACACATTAATGGATTGTTTATTATTGTTGTTTCTCTTAAAGAAAAACGTTTTGTGTTAAACATTTTAAACATAGTATGAGATGTCAGATAAACATGCAAGTATGTTTTGAGGATAGTTCTGTTCCCAGTTCTTATTGGTACTAATAAAACTGAACTAAAATTAGATTCCTTCCAAAGTACTCCCATGACAAGCTCCTTCATTCCAAGCACAGGTAGATTATTTTTCTTTTTTTCTCTTTTTTTAAGGTCAGGGGAAGTTTGTTTTGCCAAGGTACTATGTGGGCAATTTCAAAGTTCAAATTCAAAATAATAGTTCAAAGTGAAATTTCAGTTTTATTTCCCTTGTTTTGCCCCACAGAAGCTGTTTCATAAGGGAGCAAACAGGCTGGATTCAGAAGGGGAGCGGAGCAGGGAGGGATGAAAGAATCAGGCAGATTTCCCTCAGACTGAGCCTCCTTACATGGTTAATACTGATTGTGCAGACAGATGCTTGCTGTGCTGAGGACTGTCTCGGAAGCGGGGGCAGTGTTCAGTTCTCAATCCCATTGGCACTTTTGCTCTTCTCCTTAATTCTGTGGAAAGGACAGGTTGCTACTCGCTTGGTGGCCAGGAAGGGTGTCGTACGCTCAGCGCTGCATTTTGTATTCATATGCTGGCTGCCAGGAATGATTTTTTGGCTACTAAGCCCAAACATACTTCATGGATCTCTGAGGATGGCATCCAGCGGCAGTGGCTACTCTTGATAGCAAGAAGCATGGTTTTTCCTTATTTATTTACGCTCCACCCTGTTTTTGACGCTCCACCCTGTCTTTCATCCACATGGCCCCCAAGGAGAGTTGGGCCACGGACAACCAGATCAGTGTGGAAGGATACTGGAGCAGCCTGTGCCGATGGACAGAAGTCACGTGTTCTGACCTTGGCAGTGGGGACTTGCGTGGGGCCTGCCGCGCCGGCAGCTGTACGCATGTGGTTGCGTTGCTGCTGCTCCTTGCGTTCCTTCCCTTCCCCCAGGATGACGATGGCTGATTGACTGCATGGTGCTTTAAAATTTCCCTGACCCGAGCAACATGTAGCGTGAAGCCAGACACAGGAGGAACAACCAAGGAAAGTGAAGGAAGTTGAGGAATGTGCAAACTTTCTGTTTCTTCAGTTACATGCACTTGCGCTTAATTAAAGGAGGGCACTGGAACTAGGAGTTTGAGCGGCTAGCTTCACAGAAAGAGGAGGTTTTGAAAAGGAGCTTCGCCTCGTTCTCAGGAGGGCCAGGCGTTCTTGCTCTGTGTCCTTGGGTTGCTTTTCTTTGAATTTATAAAGTCATCCTGGAAGATACACAGGGAATTCCAATGCTGCAGGCATATGGTTCCGGCTGTTGGTGAACTCTTTTGCTGTGTGCTTAACAACTGCGGCCTGGAGCTGAACTCCTTGTGTGAGTGAACTGTGGGCTCATAGGGCCTTCCTATCCTTAGTCATTTCCGTGAAGTCTCTGGGTTAGCAGCAGCAGCATAAGAAAGACTGGCAGTCAGCAGAAGCCCCCTTGTGCAAGACAGTGGCAGGTTTTTCAAGCGCTGAAGCTGGACAAGTTTGAGCCGTTGCTGTTTCCCCGTTGCCAGAATCTGTGGTCAGAAAGTGCGAGGACTTCAGTACTGCAACATCTGGGGAGCTTCAGCGTTGTTGCGTTGGGTCTGTCAGACGTGCCCATACTAGTTAATGAGAAGTAGCTACTTTGGGCTTACGGAAGATTGTGTGAGGCCTTGGAAAGCACATGCTAACTGGAGAAGTTGGTAAGAAGATTCTTTTGCTCTGCTCTGCGATAGTTTGATAGGCTTAGTTTTCCTCTGCTTTCAATCCCCCCCCCCCCCGTTTACTCTTTTGGAACACGAACCGATAAATCTATACATAGCCGAATATGTCACTTTCAGTTCTGTTTCATCTGCAACTTTTTCCCAATGCACAAAATCTTGTGTCAAAATCATATAAAATATCTTTTTGATTTTTTAAAAAGAAAACATGCTTTTTTTTGGAGAAAAAATCCACACTATAAAAAGCTAATTTTATATGTTTTTTGAATCTGCATTTCTCCTATTAGGGGTATTTTTATGTGAATTTGCTTTTATATGTTTTCATACCATATTTTATCTAACCTAGGCATTTTTATGCCTGCTTTTTGCAAATATATGCATTTTTAACGTTTTTCTAAATTGGATAACTGCATTGCCTTCTTGCTGGCTTTCCCTCAGATTTAGAACTCCCCTTCAGAAGAGGACATGTTGGTTCTTTCCATGTTGTCCTTTTACTGGTAGGAAACAATATGTCTTTTCAAGCACATCTTTGGCATGTAAACTGATGTGTTGGCTTGGATGTGTTTTCTAATTGCACTTTTAATGTTTTTGATTTATGATTATAGTAATCATATTTTTAAAGGGCTGATGCTTGTTGCTTTTGAGCACCATTTCCTGGTAGGAAGGAACAGGATAAAATAAATAAATGGCAAAAGTTGGGAAAGTGCAATTCAGTGCCTTTCAGTTTGGGGATGTGTGAAATAGGAGAGTTTGCACTGAGATGTAAACTAAATCTCCCACATCTCTGCCAGCATATCAGAAACGGGTGTCTTGTGGCCTTCAATGCTTTGGCATACAACTCCCATTGGCCCTAGTCAGCATAGCTAGTGGTGAGGTTCATGGGAGGTGTGGGCCAAAAGGTTTCAGGGCTGATTTGTCTCTTGCATACCAATAGCAATCTCAGATCCCTGTGTGTCCAAAGCAAAAACAGAACCATTTGTGCGTCAGATGATAGTCTTTAGGAGATAAAGCATAAAATGGGAGGAAATCGGTATAGATTGTGCACGCTTAGTGAGCATTACATGCTGAACATTGTGGAAAGAGAATGACGAGATAAAGCCAGCATTTGCTGGAGATGAAGCAGAGTGTTTGGAATCTTGGCATTCTATACTGCAACATTTTATTGCACCCTGGCCTTCTTCTAGCACACCTCTTCCTTGAAAGGTGTGGAGGGAAGTTGAGCATGAGAGTTGGGGGCTTTGCCTGGGGTGTATGCTGCTTGTTCAGCTTTAGCGGCCCTTTCCTTTTTCCCTACATAATTTTTGAAATGGTGTCCGCCAAGGCAGTGCTTCTCCGCTGATCTCGGTTGCATCTGGGGGTCTTTTCCCGCCAAGCAGTGCTGGAGTCATGCAATCTTGCAAGGTCCACTTGTGCATTTCTGCCCCGAAGTGGCTCTTTTTCTGCTGGGTACATCAGCATCCCATTATGTGTTCACTCCGGGGAGAATTTTAGCCTCATTAAGGAATTCTATCATTCATGGTTTCTACTTTTTATTTTTTAAAGGGTTTAGCCTCATTAAGGAATTCTATAATTCATGGTTTCTACTTTTTATTTTTTAAAGGGTTCCTTTGTTGCCGATGACTTTGATCTCACTGATCCTGCATTTTCAGAGGATTAACTTAGCCACATCCGGGTTCGGTTGAGCTTTGGGGGAATGACCTAATGTTCTTGTCTCTTGTTCTGTGGACCTGCTGATGGGCTACACACCAAATGGCCTTATTTGTCCATTCCCTCTTTAGCTTTACATCTCGCTTAATGCTAAGGCCTGTCTTGAACTCACCAGCAGACATAAAAGTGCGGGTCTTTTTGCACTGCGATCTTGCCTTTAATTACTGTAATAAATGTGATGGCCCTTTAGCTGCATGCGGTTTGCCTGTGTGTGCACGTCCGTGACCCATAATATTTATTTAATTATAAACCCACCCCAGTCATTTAAGGCTCATGGCAGGTTGCAATGCAAAAAGGATGCAATAAAAAGTTAATTCAGGGGAACGATTTATATGGTGTGAAGTGAGAATTCACCTTTCAGCCATTGCTTGTCCTAGTTCTGCTCACAGTATAAATACTGCGGGTTTGACTTTTGTGGATCTGATTATTTGTGAGACTGCCATCGGTAATTAAATGGGAGGCTTTTTCGAGTTCTGTGGCCTACTGTGGAAAATTGCCATCACTATAGAGAGAGAAGAAGCAAAGGGTGAGAGAGGGGGACCTCTGAAGCATGCGTCTTTGCCCTGCATCCCAAGAGGGAAATCCTCCGGCATTTCCTTGGTGCAAAGAGGAGACCCTCGTGAGTGAAAGGGGTGGTCAGGGAATAAGAACATAAGAAAACAAAGAAGCGATAAATGACGAAGAGGAGCCCTGTTGGTTTTTCTACTTTTGCGAGGGTCTGTGCTCCTAACTCCCCTGAATGTGGAGGGCTGACATTTAACAATATCAAGGACTCTCACCTGGCAGCTCTTTTTGCTTTTGATATAGCAGGACAGCCTTCTAAAAGTGTTTGGTTTAAGGAGAAAATTAATATATGCTATAGATCATTGTAGTGCAGCATTCTCCAATCTGTACTCCAGTGTTTTTAATGTATAGTAAACTGTGATCTTGAAAGTGCCAAATCAGAAGGGAAATGCGTTAATTGAAAGTGGAACTACATGCTATATTGTAGCAAAGAGCCCATCACTATGAAGGGTGGTATTTAAACCTCCCCATTCTTTTGACCTCTCTTGTTCAACCTATGAGCTCCTGCCCGGCTCTCTTCTGTTTATATCACTGGATGACCTCCTCCAATATCACAGTGGACCTCTGCAAGCCAGAAACAGCCGTGTCCCGCCAGCCTCTCTGCCCTGGGACAAGTAAGCCGCTTTAAATTCTTAAAAAAAGAAAAAAAAAGGTTGGACATAAATCTAGCATATAAATAAAGTAGGAGGCGGCATGCTAGGAATCACAAAATATTTAAAATATTCGGTGGGTGAGAAGGCGGTATGGTAGTGAGCCATGCTTAGAACAAGAAGATGAAGACGCACCTTACAAGTTTAGGAAAGCACACCAGTTACAGTCTTCTGCTCGTAGGTGTGAGTCCACGCAATACTTTTAATTTTTATGTAGTGTGATGGTAACCTTTCATTTTTTCCCCTTAACTCATATTACCCCTGTGTCACTTGTTACCCCTTCCTCACAACGACCTGTGTCCATACCATGACGATGGCAGTGTGCTTGTGTGTGCTACTCTTAACCACAAAATGACACATCTTGTACTGCCACAGCCCTTCCTGATATTTGCTGACTTTGTGCACCTCTGTGCTGGTTGCTCCCTCCCTCTTTCTGTGCCTTGTGTTCTGTTTCCCCTTTTTAAGCAACTCGCTTTTACTTCAGGCTCGAGGCTTTTTGTTTATAAAGGCCCCTGACTCTTGTCAAGCTGGGCTTAGATAAATGCGAATCTGTTTTCTAATATGTAAGATCACACCGGACACATGCTTTTTGAAGCTAACGCAGGTATACCTAGATACCATGCACTTTCAAATGGCATCTGCAGAGTTCTGTAGGTAAAGACCCTAAACTGAAGGTGGGGAGATGAGTGGACAAGTTACAACTGCTCCAGTGGAACCTGATCTGGGACCACCACAGAGAATGGAGGCCCTCTCCATCCCACCACAACCCAAAACTGGCCTGTTTGAAGGCCGTGTCTATTTATAACCACTCCGTTGGAGCTCTCTGCAGGCATAGCAAGGGGCCTGCTCCAGCCAATGGATCTGGGGGTTAGAATTACACTGTAGGATGCTAGGGGGACGCATTGACAATGGCATTCTTTACATGTCTGCTGATAATTCCCACTGGGACTTAGTGGGAATTTAAATTGGGCATAGTCGCAGGAAGGTGGATATAAGATCGCATTCTGAATATCTGCATAAGAATGTAAGAAGAGCCATGCTGGGTCAGACCGACCTCTATCTAGTCAAGCATTCTGCTCAGGCAGTGGCCAGCCGGATATTTAAAAAAAAAAAAACATGAAAGCTACACTAACAGAACATGGGACCTTTTGCAGATGTTTCATGTCGTATCTTAGCACATGTCGTTGTTACTGTCTTTGCTCTAGAACCCCTTTCTATTGCAGTGCAAATGCTGTCCCAGATGTTGTGCACAAAACCTGGTGTCACATGGCAACCAGCTCTGGCAACAGCTTTAGGACTGCTTAATATTAATACACGTGCCCTTTATGGTCCACTCTTTATGTATGCTGATCCATAAAGGACAAATGGGTTACTTATATAGGGCATGTTTGCTTGTGCAGCTGCCTAGAAAATTAGAAGCAATTATGTATAATCAATTGCAGTGTTGTTCCATGGAGGGGATTTGATACAAGGAACTTCTGCGCTTTTTAATGCTATAATCAGTGGCATAGGCAGAAGATTTGGGTGTTTCTCCTGTCGGACTAGAAGTAGCTACAGAGACAGATGTCTGTGACGTTACTTCCCAAGATAGGTTGCGGTGACGACCATAGTGCCGTGATGACCCATGGTTTGAAACAGCAAACATTCCTCAAAGGAAGGCTCTGTTTGTGGATATTAAAAGGACAATGCTAGGTCCCAGAAGAGATGGGCTGCCCTAAGAGAGCCCTCTGCTGGCACTGTCCCTACGTCTCCTCATGTGGCAGAGGGTAGGTCTCTGTGTGAACAGCTGGAAAGCCCTTGAGAAATGGGCATTTGACTTGGGAAGAGGTTTTTGCATGAACGGACCTGCCAGGGAAGAACGTAATTGTTCCGGTAAGGCATTAGTTTTGGCAAGGCAGTTAGTCAATTGTTATTTTCTTCCCTTGGAAGCTATTGTTTTATCCTCTTTGCATACAAAGCTAGGCGAGTTCATTTTGGGGAATGAAATTGGTCAGAGTCAACACCGTATATGTTCCATAGTGATCAACGCCTTCATATTTAAGAAACGTTTAACATATAGCCCGTGAAAAGTGCTCTCAGGTTATTTCAATGAAAGAAATAGAAATGGCTTCTTTAAGAAATTAACCTGTAATCTTCCGAAAATAGCATACCTAATTACAACACGGAAATGGAGTCATGTTGAACCACTGGCAGAGAGGGATTGGATATGAAAAGAATAGGTCACTGCTGGTCACTGACAAGCATAATGCAGCCAGTTTGAACCCAGCCGAGCAGACATAATGTAGAGCGGTTCATGCAATATTTATTTATTATTATTTAAATGCCCTTTGGGCAGAGAAGCAGAGCAAATAGAAAATGATATGTTTATATAAGGATTTGTAAGGGTGTAGCCTCCTTGGCTCCCAGAAGCAAAGACTTATGATGAGGCTCTGCAGGATGGGATAAGCGGCAAGTGCAACCTTTGCCCTCGTGTCTTCTCAACCCAGCGTCTTTCACAAGGCAAGCTTCTTGCCCATCTAGCAAAGGTGCTTTGGAAGGGCAGAACAGGTGCCTGAAGGAGGCTAAAGAGAGCTCATATCCTGGCCACTCTGGTCTTCTACACTCCCCACCCACAGAATCAGCCTCTTTTCACCTTCTTTAATGTGGAGTTCTTGACCTCACAGGGTGGCTGGGGCAATTCATTCTGGCTGCAAGGACATGTGGGTGGGAGGGAGGTTGGATCTCCCACTTCCCCTTTCAAGGTCAGAGCTCTGTCTTTAAGGGTACAGGGTTACTTTCTCCATGCACTTGTGTATATGCATTAATTTAGCCTTTAAAGCAGGGGTGGGCAAGGTTGGATGTTGGTGTCTGGAGCAGTCACAGAGTGCCAAAAGAAGCAATTTTTTAAAAAATGGAGGAGGATAGTGGGGGATAGTGAGGGCCACATGTGGCTCCCTTGAGCTCTATAATATCCTTTTGAAATGCATTGACCCAAACTGTTGTTCACATAGCCAGGTGGAGGTGGGAACTCTGGGGATAAAGGCGTGCTTTGCTTAGGGCCTTTCATGGCACTGGTGAGAGTCCAACTGTGAACTTCCTTCCTTACAGCTCAATCTTTATCTCGCTGCCCTTCAGTAGCTCTAGAATTGCTCACAGGATCAGGTGGACTCCCATTTGTGGTGTGTTAATTGAGATGGGAAACCCAGTAAAGTTGAGTTGTGTCACCTTTTGGTTTGCATGGACTCTTCCTTGTTGCTACCTGGAATTAATTGTTCCCGTTCGAGCCCAAAATTCAAGGTGCCAGGTCTCTGAGCTGTGCCCCCCCCCTTTGATGTCGATGAGATTTGGCCATGTATGCACATAGATTGATATGTATGTATAAATTTATATGTATAGATTTATATAGCAATGTGTGCTATAAATGTCACTAGCAGATTCATGCCCCGCCTTTAGCTTATTCTTCAGTAAACCAAGCTGGGGTGGGGAAAATTTGATCTTGGCCAGTGGTCAGAATTCCTGAGAGCTATAGTCCAGAATATTTGGAAGACTTCATGTTGGCTTTGCACATGAAATGCTCCAGGATCACTCATTGGCATCTTCAGGTTAGAGCTGGGAAAGAACCTGGAGAACCGCTTCCAGACAGACTAGAAAATGCTTGCTGGATGGACCAACAATTTGACACAGTACAAGCACTGATACGGGTTAGGGTTAGTGTTAGGATTCTAAATGCTTCATTTCCCCACCAAAATTTTTCCAGGGCTTTATTTTTTCACAGAAGTGTTCTGCTTCTTAAGATCATTAATAACAATTAATCTATGCTCGTCTCAAGGATAAGAGACAAGTTTAGCAGGTTCAAAGTTTAATTAATGTTTTTCATAGACATTTGGAAAATCTTTACCCCGCCTGTGGAAAAAATACAGCTATTTTATTGAAATTCATATATCTTTGAAAGTGAATGGACCTAATACAGAGAGACAGATAACAAACAAACAGAGAAGTGCAAGGTCTTGCACTTGGGAATCAGGAATGTGCCATAGGTACAGGATGGGGGACAAGTGGCTGGAGAGCGGCACTTGTGAAGGGATTGCAGGGTACTTGTCGATAGCAGGCTGAACATGAGCCAGCAGTGGATGCAGCAGTTAGAGGGCAAATGCCACCCTTGGATGTATAGCCAGAGGAGTGGCTGGCAGATTGAGAGAGGTGCTGGTGCCGCTCTATCTGGTGCACCCACAACTGGAATACTGCGTCCAGTTCTGGGCTCCACATTACAAGAGGGAAATGGCAAGGTTAGAATCAGTTCAGCACAGGGTCACAAGGGCGGTAGCCAGACTGGGGAGGGTGCCATGTGTGATGGGATTGAGGGAGCTGGGATTTTTCAGCCTGGAGGAGACTGTGGAGATCTTAAAACGACTTACAGGTATGTGAAGGTGTGTCACCAGGTAGAGGGTCATGACCTGTTCTTCCCTGTGGACACGATCCAATAGGGCAAAGTTCAAGGAACAGGGCATTAGATTGGATGTCAAGAAGTACTTCCTGACAGTTAGAACTGGTAGGATATGGAATGGGCTTCCAAGGGACATGGTGGAGGCCCAGTCAGTGAAGGTGTTCAAGGAAAGGTTGGTCAAACACAGGTTGAGAATTACATGAGTGGGGCTGACTTGTGCCAGGGGTCAGACCAGATGATCAGGAGACCCATTGAACAGAAGAAATGTCCAGTGAAGTTGTGTGCAGGCATAGCCAGAAGCTGCCCTGCCGCTTCTCATAAAGCCCGAGGACGATCCTCCAGATCTGCTTTCGGTTCTAATTCTGAAACCGGCGGCACATCTGCTGAAAACCTCTCTGCTGCAGGTGAGCAGCACCTGCACAGCTGTCGTCACTGTAGGGGTACAGTCATCAGTCTTTTCAGCCCTGGGACCGCTCTTTAGTCTGAACAATAATATTATTATATTATTACTTTCATGGCCCAGCCTTTTTCCCCACAAGGA